TTCACAGATAAGTGGTCATGTAGCTGTAGAACCTCAGAATGATTTGTCCAGCAGCACAGAACGCACTGATCTGAATGCAGTGACTGATCTGTCTTCTTCCCTTAACTTGTGCAAACTCTCATATTCTGTTAATCTTAAATTTCAAACGTCCTGTAGCTAACTGCATTGTAGATCATTAACGTTGGGGTTCAGAGGCATAACCACACCTGTGACACGTTCTGCTTCTCGTCCTATAAATGCCTACCTTCCTTGCATTCCTGTTTGCTTGCACAAAAGTTATGACTGTATCATGGAGAACTTGATGCAGTGATACATAATGGTTGACGAACGTCTGCCATTGCTCGGCAGTCTTTGGATGTTTGGAAGGAAGTTTGTTTTCCAAAGTTCTTCTCTCTATCCACGTTAATTGTATGACGACTCCTCCAAGCTCTCTTTATCACCGAGCAGCTACAATCAAATAAAGCGAGATCTCCTCTCTGCTCCTGCACTTTCACTTGCTCCAAAGTGAGTACTCACCGCAGAAATGACGGCGTGCAGGAGATGTGTGGTCGATCACCTGAGTAGTTTCCTAACAACCAATCTAAGTGTTTTGCCACCACATTCCCCATCGATACTTCGGGTCAGCTGTTGACTCATTTTATTTCTTTCCTCTCTGTAAGTGAGTGAGGTTTTGTCTTTCGTCTCAGATAAATACAACAGCTCAACCGCACTGCCCCACTTCCCACCCCTCAGCGGTGCTTTCGTCCTTGGCACGACTCAGTCAAAGCATCACGTCTAGACTCTAATATGCATTTCCCACCACCTCAGCCCGTTGGGACCAGCCATCCCATTGGCACTCAGCTCACACAGCGGTGGAGAGGGTTCGGCACAGGCTGTCAGTAATGTCCACAGAGGTGCCTCCGATGTGTGCTTACCCACTTTGAGTGCTCTTCAATGTGGACAAATCAGATTTCCATTAATGACTGAACGGACAAATTAATAAAAAGATGACTGCACTTAGTTTCTCAGCCCCTGTGGAACACTGACAGTGACTTGGTGGGATGTCAGAAGACTGATTTGTGGCTTACAGCAGCCTGGTGGCATACGTGGGGACAAACTTCTGCAGGCGTCCTCTGTAGGGAACACCTGTGTTCTCCAGCCCTTCACTTTGTTTCGGTTGCTGCATTGGAGTACTTGAGCTTTTTGCATCTATACACTTCATCAGCTGCATCATCCCATGGTGCTGTCATTCTCCGATGAATTAGACCTCTTGTGAGACTGTACACAGGACAGACCTCAGACTGGCTACAATGATCTCCAGCAGAAAGCTTCCAGTCCTGGCCTGTATCCAGTTGTACCTTTTCTGTGGGTGCATGGTGTTTGAGAAGCCAGAGGTTAAAAGAGACCATTGCTGTTGGGCCTTTTTTCCTTCCAGCACTACTGCCGGTTGCTGGAGGACGGGGTTGAGTGCATGAAAAACCAAACTGTGAGTTTACAAGTTTGTTCAGTTGAAATGCAATGAATGCAGCCCCTTGCCTTGCCTCTGGAGACGCACTCTGAGGCGATTCTGAGTATCAGATGATCAAACGCTGAATCAAGAGGCTTCAGAGTTAGTGTTGGTTTAAAAGGAAAATGAAGTGCGAGACAAGTCATACATGAATTCCATCAACTGTCAACGCAGATATCATTGTGCTTGTTAAGTCACGTGTTCGTTTTTCTAGTAGATATCTTAGTATCTCAAGCAAACTTTAGCCTGTGTTACATTAACCTCCCCTTTGTTTATCTAATCACAGTAATAGTAGTAATGACAGTACAATAAACAAAAGTAATTAAAGACAAGCAATGACATCCATGTCAAACTAATACGACACAACTCTGATTGCAAGCGTGCAAAAACAGAACACATAAATCTGACACTACCTCCATCCTTTCTTCTTTATGATACTTCCCAAGACAAGTTCAGCTCTGGGAAAGGAGATAAGCAGAGAGACAGAGTTTTAATGGTTCAATAAATAAAAAGAAATTCTGTTTGAAATGTTTAAAGAGCTTAAATCTTATGAGAAGTTAAGTCAAACACAACTACACATTTACTTCACAGTTATGTACAAGATGAAGCAACTTTCACTTACATTTCAAACATATGAATCACATCACCACATCCTTACCAGTTTAAAAACAAAAACAGTTATCAATATTATATACCTAATTATCAAAATCGACACTCTACTGGGGCTGCAAGGTGGNCAAGTTATAATTTTAGCACATCGTCTGAACAGATTAATTAAAAATCCATTCATTATTGCCTCATTTACTTCTGTTGACAGTCAACAAAGTCTTTTTTATTTTTATTTTAAAACTTTTAGAGCAGGTTGTTTCAGGGTCCCTGCCTCTACCTCTGACAGTTTATTTCCTGGCTCAGATCTATATTGTCTTTATTGCCACGCCTGTTTGCAGCACTTCAGTTCTCCTGGCTGGTCTTCCTCCAGCAGCTCTGAGATTCCTTCCGACCACACGCTGCTCCACTGCTTCCACTCAGCCAGACTCTCAGTCCTAGACAAGTGACCTGGATCACCTGTCTGCCCCCCATTTTAGCCTTTATTAGATGGTGTCAGTAGAGAGAAACAGGCCGACTCCCTACTTGTGACCATGTGGTATGAATGTCTCTACAGACGAGCAACAACAAATCTGTGACTGTATTCAAACTGCTGCACATTATTACATACATTAGCTCTACTAAGGCCCTGGCAGTGCTTCGAAATTTGAAACTCTAAATATACAGAGTGGTTAGTGGATATTTTTAGGGGAGGAGAGTAAAGCTTTCTCAGTTGATGGAACTACCCGATTGTTGGATGCTGATGATAGGTGGTCGTGTATTCTCGTAGTTTAATCGTAGCAGCTGGACTTGCTTGAGTTTCTTGAAGACGTTCCACCTCTCATTCAAGAGGCTTCATCAGCTCTGACTGACTAGTTGGGAGTTCCACATACTGATATCCTTTTCCAGACTGAGAATCTTCATAGACATCGAAACTCAGGTGTTAATGTCTCCTTCAGGATATCAGTATCTAGAACTCCCAACTAGTCAGCCAGAACTGATGAAGCCTCTTGGATGAAACATCTTCAAGGAACTCAAGCAAGTCCAGTTGGTGCGATTAATCTACGAGAACAACCACGACCTGGATGACTGAGAATCTTCACAGATAAGTGGTCATGTAGCTGTAGAACCTCAG